CACAAGGTCAAACAGCCACTGAAAAAAATCATTGATTTTAGTGTTTTCATCTGCCGTTTTATCGAACTATAGCTATCTCATTCCTTTAATTTTTTTTGGTTTCCAATAGCCTTACACATTTGGATGCCCCTACACATGTTAAAACAGACCTTGATGGGAAAACAAATCGCTTGTGCAGATAAACAAGCTTGAAAATCTTTGCTGTAACTTCATGGACGTTTTCTAGGAGTTTCTGTTTTTCAAAATACAAGGTCTTTAACAAAAAATAACGTATACTTATTGTCGTTGGATTAACACCAAATTTTCACAGCTTTAAGGTGACAATGAGAGGAACCTGAATGTGTCCAGACAAACTATTTCATGGATTATTTACCAATGTGTTGTGGTTTGAGTTGGGGTCAATGCGACTAAAACAGAAATTAAAATTCAGGACACTATTTTTCAATACGCGTTGCTTGAATAAAACTGATCAGACACATTCAATTTACCAGACTATTGAACAACTAGGAAAAGTGAAAACAAAACTTATTATCACCAGCATAAATGCGTAATTATTATTTTTACAAAAAAAGTAATTTTTCACTTTTGATTAGGTAACGCACCGTAGAATGCGGATACGGGCATGACAAACACACCTTTGAAAAGCTTAAAGTCTGGCGATTCCAAAAATATATACTTTCCTTGGTCTATTTGTAGTCGTTTGGTCCCAATTAGGAGATGAAAAAAAGTATGCAAATAATAGTCCCGCTACCTTAAATAAAAGACATGTTAAAGCATTATTTTATTCAAATTAACTTGTATTTTTGGAAACCATAAGGAACCAGCTTATAACCACGGGTACATATTTTATTTTTCTCTATATTGTACTCTACCCAAATTAGAAAAAAGTGTTCACTATGGACAGGTTTTCTTTTATATAGAGGTGGTCACTAAACACAGGTTTGAATGTATTTAACTTTTGTATGCAAAGTCACCAGAGCTTTGTCTGATATGTTGGTTTATATATCAGATGTAGTACATCACGTAATCGCGTATGGGTGGCATCACAAATTGACCATTTTCCCTTCACTGCGAGAATCATGCGTTATGCGTGAAATCGAACGTAAAAACAGGACAAACAAAGGTCATAGCGTCGTAGTGATGCCAAACATCGCGTGGGATTCGGCAAACGCGAAAGTATTTTGGGGAATATTTCCATGCTTAATAATATGCTGTACACGTTTGATGATAGACAATTTCGATTAAGTGAGGGTATTCGAAAGCAATATTTCTCTGTCAAAGATCGAACGGTCGATGTGAGCTATAAAATAAAGAAATTCAAGTTCAAAATTCAAATTGTTCGATTTTTGCGACAGACGTTTCATGCAACTCGCGAGATCTCGCAGTTGAACGGAAAATCACCTATTCCCAATAATTTTTGCTCACATTTGAGTGCATTCTTTGTTTTCACTCACAATTACTGCCAGGTACATCTGTATGTGTAAACCCAGCAAACAGAACAGTCCTTTGAGTGTCCATAGACATATAAAAAAAAATATGTGGCACCTTGCACTTTTGAAAAGAACATGTGAAAGCCAGTTATATTTATCCCTGTGTATGTACCTACATCGTATGACTTGTCACTGGACCTCTACTGTAAAAAGGTTTAATTATTCACTGGGTTTTAATTTTGCTTATTTTGCTAAATTAAAATCCAGTGAATATGTAAAATTTAGCATAGAACACATTATCTAAATGATAAAACCGTAAATTTAAAATCCACTGAAAATGCCTGAAATGGTAAATCAACAAAATTTAAACCCAGTGAAAATTAGTCATTTTACAGTACTTGACACAAACATTAATATTGTTATTAATTTCAGAGTTATCATTGTTATATTCGATGTTACGGTGATACTGCCGATATCCAAGTGTAATGCAAAAATTATGTTAATTAGGGTCAATCTACGTCCACACTTGGTCGGTATTGACCAATCAGTGTTTGTTAGTCCCCGTTCGGACGCAGTCCGAAAACGGGGACTTATGTTTTGCCCTGTGTGCGTCCGTGCGTCCGTGCGTCCGTGATCACCTGTATCTCGAACATGCATGGACCGATTAAGTTCAAACTTCACTCATACATCACACCTTATATGGGACATATGCACATGCATTTTTTTCATGATCCGATTAACGATAGCCGAATAGCGGCCATTTTAAGGCCGAAAATGCATCAAAATCGCACATTTTCACCATTCCGGACCCGGATCTCAGTTATGCATGGACGGATTTTGTTCAAATTTGGTACATACATTAAACATAATAGGACCTTGATGCACGTCATTTTTTGGGATCGGGTTCGAAATGGCCGACTGGCGGCCATTTTGTTTTAAAGAATTCAGTTCTGGATCCGTATCTGAGACATGCTTGGATTGATCGAGTTCAAACTTCACACACACAAGGTACATCATGTCACAAATATGTATGTGCATTTGTTTCATGATCTCATTAACGATAGCCAAATGGCGGCCGCTTTAAGGCCGAAAATGCATTGAAATCGCACATTTTCACCATTCCGGACCCGGATCTCAGTTATGCATGGACGGATTTCATTCAAATTTGGTACATACATTAAACATAATAGGACCTTGATGCACGTCATTTTTTTTTCGGATCAAGTTCGAAATAGGCCGACTGGCGGCCATTTTGTTTTAAAGAATTCAGTTCTGGATCCGTATCCGAGACATGTCTGGATTGATCAAGTTCAAACTTCACACACACAAGGTACATCATGTCACAAATATGTATGTGCATTTGTTTCATGATCTCATTAACGATAGCCAAATGGGGGCCGCTTTAAGGCCGAAAATGCATTGAAATCGGCACATTTTCACCATTCCGGACCCGTATCTCAGTTATGCATGGATGGATTTTGTTCAAATTTGGTACATACATTAAACATAATAGGACCTTGATGCACGTCTTTTTTTTTTTCGGATCAAGTTCGAAATGGCCGACTGGCGGCCATTTTGTTAAAGAATTCAGTTCTGGATCCGTATCCGAGACATGTGTGGATTGATCAAGTTCAAACTTCACACACACAAGGTACATCATGTCACAATATGTATGTGCATTTGTTCATGATCTCATTACGATAACCAAATGG